AGCAAGACTGAAAGCCAGCAGGGTAAGCTCCAAATTCTACATCACTGTGTCTGATGTCAAAGTGCTTTTGAGATCTCCAGTTCCTTTCATCTTTTTGACTGTATCATACTTGTCTGTCTTGGGCTGGTCCCACTCTCAGTCTGCAGCTCTCCTTGGCAGGTATTTCATGACTCTGACATATCCAACATTTTGTTGTCTCCAATGAAACTCAAGCTTCACCTTTACAGTTTCACTCATTGGCTTCTCTGGGCCTCCATGCAGGGACACCCTTGACACATACGAGGTCTCAGTAGCTGTCCTTAGCTGAGGAGGGAGATTCCACAACCCGTTTCTGTATTCTTGACTCTAAAGCCAGAACCACATGGCTGAAGCTGCCAAGTTCTGCTGTCTTCCTTCAGTTACATTTGCATCAGCTTTCTGTTGGTGATGGTTTCCTTCACTGCTTCATCTTCTCCTTAATTCATCTTTACAAGTGGGAATCTTAACTGGGTGAGATCTTGCCCTAAGGTCATCACTCCCTTTATTCTATTTAGTATCAAGCTTTTCTTCAAACTTTTTATCTCCATGAACACTGGACTTGGCTCCAACAAAACATTTCCTGGTGCTCTTTTTCTTTTCAAACTGTACATTTTGTATTTTTCCTTGTCCAGCTTGCTCCTCTTCGTTATAGACCTACATAACAGTGATTACTAATAGCCATACAATATAGTCATTACTAGGCCATCTTGAAATCTCTTCTGCCAACACCATTATTCTAAAATTCTTCAGTTTAGCCTCAGGCAGATTTTTATGATGAGGGCAGAAAGCAGCCACATTCTTTGCCAGAATAACACAAGAATGGTTTCTAGGCCACTTACCAATATTCTTCCTCTTGAAACCTCTTGAGCTTGGCCCACATTTCTTTCAGTAGTGTTGCTAGTATGATGCCTCACTAAGCTGGCAGGTGCTGGAGCAGTAGCTGAGAGTTTTGTGTCCTGATCTATAGGTAGAGTGGGTGGGAGCAGTGACACACTTCCTCCAGCAAGGCTTCACTTCCTCCTGCAAGGCCACACCTCCTATTAAGTCTTATCCTTTCAAAAAGTTCCACTTCCTGATGTCTAAATGATCAAATATATGAGCCTCTGGGGGCCGTTTTTATTCAACCCTCCACAAGGGATGTGTAGGCATAAGTGTGTAGCAACTGACATGTGGGCTCTCTCCTCTAAGTTAGAAAGTGCATTTTACACATACGCTCACTGCTTGGGGTGAAGATGGATGTCCTGATGATGTAACTTGGTCTCCCAGGCTTCTAGGAGTAACACAGGTGTCCCTATATTCTTGATGTTCTTTCTAATTGTTCTCATAGTATTTGGTTAAGCTTAGAGGATAACCTGAATTCATCTGAGATGCAGAACCAAGTAGTTAAGAGCCAGAAACCCTGGATCAGGAACAGCAGAACACATTCACAGGACATTGTGTGGCTGGTGCCTTGCTAAATAGGGTTGCACTTGGATTATCTAGTACTTTGGTTTTGTAAGAACTGTTAGGTAATTATCTTGACCTATGTGCATCATTGGACTAAGGCTTGAAGCCCAGTAAATTTTCTAAGTACAAACTTGTTTGAAATCTAGAACTTTCTAGTTCTAGAACACTGATGGTTCCAGAATGTAGGATATTCATTGACTGGAAAAGGACCTGTGAGGAAAAGTCCCTGGAAGTTGTAGGTCAAGGAAGAATTCCTCATTTGCTAACAATTCCAGATACTACAACACGAGTGTTTTTAAAACGTTTTTCTAATGATCTGTCCAGTGATCATGAATAGGGGAGTGGTGTCTATCCCCAGGATTGGTGTGGTAGATTCTGCACAATGCAGAGTCTAATAGTTCTCAGTGTAGGAAGGGTGGCATATTTGGGCTGCAAGCAGACAGAAGACTCCGGTGTGTTATAGAGATATGAAGCAATGAGTGGCCAACTGGCTGGGTCTGACCCACTGGGCCTAAAATGCAAATGCTGAAATCTTTAATTTGTGCAACTCATACTCCGCACCCTAAATCTGCTGTTAAAATAACCTTTGTTGACACTTGTTTATCTTTTAAGCCAGCAACCAGTTAATGATCATGAGGGTTTTTTTGGATTTGTCTCTTATGGGTTTGCGGTGTGATGTAGAAAGACAGACCTAACATATTTATATGATTATTATGATTATTTAATCACACAGAGAAACCCTAACTTCAGTTATTGAGGAAACTATGAAGGAGAAAGAATGGCAGTGTAGAAAGAGCTTAGGGGTAGGCTGGGAAATCAGAGAGTACCCACCCTGTGAATGTGGTGACTTTAGAGATACTGGGAGACTTGATCAAGAGCCAGCCAGATAAAGGATCCTCAGGTAGGGCAGTGAGGATAGCATGTGAAGCCCGTGAGGCTGAATGGAACAGCACAGTTGAGAACTAGACAAGGCTGAGAGGCTGAAACACAGGGAGGCAGGAAGCAGGCCCAGTAAGAAGAGGAAGCCATGCTGTGCGTGCTCTGTGGAACGTGGTCGGAACTTTCAACTTCATGTTGAACAAAAGTAGAACAGTTAATCAGTTTTCCCTAAGGTAGTATGATAGTGAACCTTGGTTGTCAGTTTGCATACCTGGGGAGAGGGAACCTCTGTTGAAGAATCTCCTCCACCAGATTGGTCTGTGAGACATTTTCTTGATTGCTGACTGATGGAGGAGGACCCAGTCCACTGTGGGCAGTACTGGCCCTAGGCAGGTTGACCTGGGCTGTGTAAAAGGTAATTGAACATGAGCCAGGCAGCAAGCCAGTAATCAGTGTTCTTCATAACTTCTGCTTCAGGCTTTTGCCTTGTCTTCCCTCAGTGATAGACTGTAAGCTGTGAGATGAAATAAACCCTTTCCTCCCCAAGTTGCTTTTGATCATGGTGTTTATTGAAGCAACAGAAACCAAATAGGACAAATAGGGAGATTAGCTTGTATGGCCTAGGTGTGGCCTGATGTAATCACAAGGGGTCTTTTGGCAAAGTAGTACCATAACGTGGAGCAAAGCAAGGTCAAGGAGGTACAGTGTGCCTCCGTGAAAGCAGCAAGCCAGGGTTGCTGTCTAAAGTTGGAGAAATCTTGTTTTAAGGCATGACGCTTTCCCAAGAGCAGCAGAACATCAGCAGGGAGTTGTCAAGAGGCTGTTAGAGACCAGTTCAGAGGCTCTACCACAAGGCGGAGTACCAGAGGCTCTACCATGGGGTGGAGTAGAAGCAAAAGTATTTTGTTCTAGGTGGGTCGCGTTGGGAAGAAATGGAAAAATTCAAGCTACATCTCAAATGATGGATGCCAGATGCTAGGAATTGAACCCAAAGCGTCACAATGCTAGGCTAGTGCTCTACTACTTAACCGTGTCTTCGGCCCAGGAGTTTTCTTTTGGATCCACAAAGTATAATGTGTTAATATGGTTTGGATGAGGTCATACTGCGTTCCCCGAAAGTTCAGGTGTTAAAAGTGTTGTCCCCTAGATGATGCTGTTACCATGTAGGGCAGTGGTTCTCAATCTCTGGGTTGTGACCACTTCGAGGGTCACGTATCAGATATCCTGCATATCAGATATTTACAGTAGCAAAATTATAGTTATGAAGTAGCAATGAAATAATTTTATGGTTGGGGTCACCATAACCTGAGGAACTGTATTAAGGTGTCACAGCATTAGGAAGGTTGAGAACCACTGTTCTGGGGATTGATCAGATTCATTTTTTTCTGCCAGTTAAAGAATTAAAAGGCAAGAAAAATCTGGAGCTCAACTTGTAACAGGAGAAAATTTGACAGAGGAGAAAGGAGCAGACACAATTAGTGGTAAAGAAAGGCTTTTGTTGATGGTAAGGGAACAGACATGCAGCAAGCACACAGACAGAAAGACAGCCCCCCAAACACACACACACACACACACACACACACACACACACACACACACACAAAGTAGAGGAGGTCCTTGGGAAGCCAAAACCTGGCCTTCAGGGCTGGGTTGTTTTAAAGTCCTTGAAGAGTCTTTCTTCTCTAATTTTGGGTTTATTCGTTTGAAGAAAGGTGTGCTGGCTGATCGGCCCCCAGCTGTGTACAACTTGTCCTGCTGGCTTTGAACTTACCTTGAATGTGTTGAACCAGTCAGTCCATCACGTGGGGGTGGGGGGAGGGAGCCTACGGGTGGGAGAGAGAGACCTTTGTTATAAACTGCCGTACTCTTATCTCAGGTCAGGAGGGTCAGGGAGAAGCACTATCTTGGAAGTTCCCATTTAGGGAATCTGTCTCCTAGCCTTCAGTGCTATTGGGACATACTGGGTCCTTTAAGAGGCAGAGCTTTGTAGGAGCTTCCTAGGTCACTGTGGGCATGGAGAAGTTCCCATAAACCCCATGAGGATCAAGCCTGGTTCCACTTGTCCTTTCTGCTTCTCATTTGGAATGTTTGCTTGCTCTTGAAGGTGCTCTTATCGTTGTCATCTGCCACCACCATGATCCACCACGATATAGGTGCTGTGTCCTTAAACCTTCTAAATGCTGAGCTGGTAGCCAGAGTCAGGTTACATGTGCCTATGGAGCACCAAGTACTAAAGTCAGGAAAGGACTTTAGGGAGCTGGCAATTGAAATATGAGAGTGGGTAAGATCCTGAGAAAAGTGTTCTGCAAACTTTTTGCACTTCTACAAATAACAGCATTATGTATGTATATGTTATTATTATTGCCATTTGTTCTTGTTTTGAGAAAGGATCTCTGTAGCTGAGGCTACTCTTAAACTTGTGGCAATCCTCCTGTTTCAGGCTGTCAAGTAGTTTGTTTACACAAAGGTGCTATTCTCTTTGGTTTAGATTACCACTTCTACATTTCAGATAATAGAATTTACTTAAATTAATATTCTTATTATTGACAAAGGCATCTTTACAAACCTCTTGTAATGTGCCTGTATCTAATTTGATTCTGGATACCCCAAGGGGTAGGTTAGACCCACATGCTTTGATTCCTCCCCCCCCCCCCCCCCCCCCCCCAGTGAGTGCTTTACTAAGTTAAGAAGTCCCATGCCCTGTCTAGACCTACATTTGCTTTGCCCCGGGAGGTGTTTTGGACTGAAGATCAAACAGAGCTTGAGATGCCATGGGAAGATTTCTCCCTGAAGACTCTTTCTAGTGTGCTGTGAAATTAAACAACCTTACATTATTAAACAGCTCTGAGTGTGTTTCAGGCAGGGGAGCAAATGGGCTCTTCAGTCGTTTCTTGACTGCCTTGGTGTCAGGAAGGAATAACATTGGGGTAGGGTTTGAAAAACTGATCTCTTCTCAGCATTAGAAATTGAAGGATTTGGAGATCTGGGGATGAAGCTTCCCAGTAGAATGCTTGCCTGGCATGCACAAGGCCCTGGGTTTCTAACACTCCACACAGTGGGCCTGGTGTTACATGCCTGTAATCTTTGGGCTGGCAAGGTAGAGGCAGGAGGATCAGAAGTTCAAGGTGGTCATTTGACAATATAGTGAGTTTAAAGCTAGTCTGAACCACATGAGACCCTGTCTCAAAAAAGGAGTATTTGGGCTTTGAAGTTATAGGTTGTGTTTATTTAAAACTCTATATGCTACATGGGGTAGACAGGAACTCGCTCTATGCAAGTGAGGGGATTGCAGTTTGTCTACCTCGTAGTCTGGAACTTGAGGAGATGAGCGTTTGAAATGTCTGCCTGGAGAGAAGCACAGGTGCACGCCTGAGGCACCCAGCCCTGCCTCACCAGTTTGTCCAGATATTTATGCCCAGAGTAGTTCAGGGGAATGTCTGCTTTCCCTGGGGATATGGAGCTGTGCATAGGTCAGCCACGTGGGTACTGTGTCTTGAGTGATTCTCACCAGAAGTCCTGCCCCCTCCACTCAGGTGACCTCAGGGCTGCAGTGTTTTCTGAAAAGCAACTGTGTGATGTGTTTCGGGAAGGGACACTGCGAAACTTGCACACGCTTTCCCCTGGATTTTACCTTCTGAGCTTTTTTTTTTTTTTTTTCCTTTCTTTGCTGATTGTATTTTCTATCCCTGTTTCATAATAAACATCTACAACTTTAACTCCTTCTGAGTCCTAGAAAATCATTGACCCTGAAGCAGGAATGCCTCAGAAACACAGGAGTCATCTGAAAACAAGATCCGGCCATGTAGCCCAGGCTGGCTCCCAGCTAATCCTCCTATGTCCAGTATCCCTAATGCTGAAATTACAGGTAGGTGCTACCATGCGAGGCTTCTGATACTCACCTTTATGAAAGACTTAACCCTTCTTTCTCCTTAAGATTAAGAACAAGGCACCAATGCCCATTCCTTATTGGGAATTGCTTTAGAAATTCTAAGATAAGAAAACAAGACAAGAAAAGAAGAGATACATAGGTGCTAGGAGAAAGAAGTAAAGCCCATGAGAGTGTTCTCAGTCTGTGTCCCTGTTGTGAGGCAGTAACGGCTGATACCCGTTGCAGAATGCCTCCCATCTGTCTGCATCTGTGCTGATTGTTGCTTCCTGTGCCTTCACTCTCATTCTGGGTCTCTCCAGCAAGTTTTCCATTTTTGGCCATTAAACTTTTCAAATCCAGAACTTCTGGTTGTTTTCATAATACCATTGTTGTTGGATCTGCATGCCACTCCAAAGCTAGTACTTGGGAGATGAGTTTTTAGGCAAAGAATCAGCTTATTCAAGGCCAGAACTCTAAAAAAGGGGGAAGAAACTTCAGGTACATGAGCAGACATTTATAGGGAGAGAAAGGGGCAGTGGGCGGAAGGCTGTGGGTCCACCAGGCTCTTCCTCATCCCAGTCACATCCTGCTTACTGTTCATTGCTCTGAGCAAATAGATCGTCACAGCCCTGACCCTCTGGACTAGTTCCTGTAACTCCTTAGACAAACACTGTTTTTCTGCAAGTTAAAACTCACAGCAGTTTACATGCTTTGGGTCAGTGCATGCTCAGATGTTATCTGAAGGCCACCAGATGTTTTGGGTTCCATAAATCCAGAGAAAGAGTTAATGTTTTAGTCAGTTAGGTGTGACTTGTCTCAAGAATTTAGAAGCTGGAAAACAGAGAGGACGTGACTCTGCAAAGGACAATTCCCAAAGGAATGGCCACCATTACACTATCTCTTTTCTTTAATTTTAATTAGATAATTAATTAATAGACAGCTCTCTTTTTATAGTCCATGCTAACCTGGAACTTGCTTTGTTGCCCACGCTGGCCTTGAACTTTCAACTTTGTGCCTCAGGCTCAGGGATGAAAGACTTGCAACCATGTGTGGTTACTATCTCTTTAGGGATATCTCAGTTTGGTGACATATTTTCATAATTGCACTGGTTTTTGGTTGCATATTTAATACATTTGGGTGTGTGTGTTTAATTGTAAACCTAAGTATTCAGTTTAAGTAATTAATTTAATTAGAGACAGAGGAGCCTCCCTGACACCCTGGGCTAGCCTTGAGCTCATGATCCTCCTGCCTTGGCCTCCTGAGTGCTGCGATCGCAGGCAAATGACACCATGTCTGAAAACTGGTAGTTTTGTTTTGTTAGTTCTGACCTCTCCTAGGGGCTGCTGGAGTTTAGACCTCATCACTGTGTGTGGTTGGCTACTTGGCTGAACTTAGTGCATGAATGCAGCCTTCTCCAAACTGTTTTCACCTCCTGGCCTAACTGCTTAGGCAATGCTTCCAGGTTGACAAGTCATAGGTGGAAGGTTGTGCTGAAGTCCCCTAGGTAGTCAGGTTTTCACTCTTCACTTCAGTTATGTGTGGCTGGGAGACTTCAGGTATCTGTGAGGCTTTGGGGGGGGTGCTATTTTAGCGGCTTTGGGGGGGGGGGTGCTATTTTAATATTTACCCAGGAAATAGTTTCATGAGGTTTCCTTTTGGATCACTCCTGAGGGGACCTAATCATGGGTTTATCCTTGTCTTCCACACTGCCGTGAGTGACTGAGCTATATATTTAATGAAAGCATGTCATAATGAGACCTATGGTTTTGTAAGCTAACTTATTAAAATCAGTCCTTGGGGTCATCGAGATGGTCCAGTGGGTGAAGATCCTTGCTGCCAAGCTTGGTGACCTGAGTTCGATTGCTGGGACCCACATGGTGGAAGGAGAGAAATGACTCTTGACAGTTGTTTTCTGTCCTTTCACACATGAGCTGTGACACACATATGCATGGCAAATGTGTGTTCATATGTACATATTAAATAAGTAAACAACAACAACAAATCACCCCCTGCTTCACAGCTTCTGTTTTCGCTGTAGCTTATCTAAAGTGTTTATCTAAGGTGATACTGAAGCCCTTTGCCTACCTCATGTAGACAGTCATATCTGCCACATAAGAGCATATTCAGGTCTGCCCAGTGTCTTGCTCCATTCTTTCCTACATGGGTACAAGCCTAGAGCTGTTAACAGTCCTTTGATGTCCATCTGTTACTGGTCCACGAGGGCCCTTCCCTGCTGTCTCTTCTTGTCTGCATGAAAGGTCGGCTCTGCCCTTTTGCTTAGGTGTACACCTCTCTTTCCTTGGTTTTCATGAAGCTGTTCATGGTCTCTCAGGATTCCATTCGTTTCAGCATCTTCTACTCTCCCTTCCAAGTAGAGTTGCTTCAGGTGGAGATGTAAACTTCATTCCTGTTCTCACTTGCCCTTGACAGAGTCCCTTTGTCATGGCACCAGCAGTTTAGGGTGGAAGCCCTCTTTTCCAAAAGGGACATTGTACTCCTTGACAGGGCACTAGGTGAGGGAGTTAGCAGCGTCTCACCGTCTCAGCTTCCTCCTCTTGGCATGAAACTTCTCTTGGGGAGCCAGTGTGACTGGTGGCAGTCAGGGTGCACCCTTGGTATGAACTCTGGGTAGGGGAGGGAGTTTGTCTTTTCTTGCCTCTCTGAAATAGAGCTGCTTTCTCATGGGCTGAGGGGATGAAGAGCGCCAGCAGCCTGCCGTTCCTTAGCCTGCCGTTCCTTAGGCTGGGCGTACACATGGAAGAGCTGACAGGACAGATGATGGTCAGTTTCACGTGTATATTCCATCACTTACGGAACCTTCTGAGCACACTCTCCAGAGTTAAATGATTTTGAAAACAGTTTTACTATTTGAAAAGCCGATATTTTGGGAAGAGGGTCTACTTCCAGAGTTCCCTATTCTGTTACTCTGGAAGATCCATTTCTTACCAGCTTTTAGTATCAGGTTTTGGAAACACTCATGCATGTACACACATACACACACACACACACACACACACACACAGTTCTGATAAGCTGAGTTTCATCCCTGGGACCCACGTGGTGAAAGCAGAGAACTGACTTCCACAAGTTGTCTAATGACCCCCACGCATGTGCCCTGGCATGTGTGTGCTGTGGTACATGCATGCCAACATAGATGCGATAAATAAAGTGCTGCTGTGTGTATATGCCCCCAAGTGTGTATGTTTTGAGCCAGGGTCTCCCAACATGCCTGTGCTTGCCTTGAACTTGCCTTTTCCTGCCTTCGTCCCACAGTGCTGGGAATTGAGGTGTTCCATGATATCCAGGGCTGATTCTTCTTTGTAGAGAAGCAAAGATGTTATCATCTCCGAGTGTGACTTCCTCAAGTATGCTTATGCTAGTACAATAACTTTAACTTTGTAGTAACACTTTTATTAGAAACCCTAAGTCTGGAATGCAGCATTGCATTCTAGGATATGGACCAGGATTTGACTTTGAACTCATCTTCCCTGTTGCTTTTCAACTCCGTGATTCAGGTGGAGTGTATCCAGGTGCTGTAAATATGGATGGATGGCCTTGGAGACAGGCTCTACCAGTATGCACATTTAAAACCATGAAGGATGCTTTGCCACTTGATGCTTGCTGTTTCTTCCTTGCAGCCTTTTGCACAGGAAGCTTCATTTTCTCCCAGTTAACAACAGGAAAAGCAGCCAGGTGTGGCATTGTAACTGAACTGGCCCATTCATCTGCCATGCCTCAAGTGCCTTCTCCATGTTGGAAAACTCACACATGTTCTTTTGATTACCTGTAGATGTGTTCTAACTGGAGCCATCATTACTATGGTGATAGCATTCTAAATTATTTTATTTAAGCCAATTTTCTCTTTGAGCCAAATTATATAAAATAGTCATTCCTTTGGAGAGGAAACTCACTATAGAAGATGCTATGGCTTTAATGGGTACGAAAGGAATTGTTTGAAAGAAAGCCAGCACATCTGTGAAGCTTGGCAGCAAAGGAGATGAAGGCTGCCTGTCAGTGGAAATAAGGCTGTGGGGTGGGCACCTGGAGTGAGACAGGACCCCAGCAGGCCTCAAGGGTTTCTTTAATCTTTTCTGTACTGCACACTGTGACTCTAGACAAAATAATCGTATCATTTTCTGCTTTGTATTTTCCCTGATTTTAATTGGAAAGTAATGACCTCTCTCTCCTATACATGAGGCTGTGGAGGAAAGAATAGTGTGAATTGTAATCTAGAATTGGCCTAGCCAGTCAAAGCTATTTATGGCAGGGAGTTCCCATCCCTCCCGCCCTCTCTTCTTCCTTTCCTCCCTTATTTTTTATCTTCCCTCCCTCCCTCTCATCTTTCCTTCCTCCCTTCCTTGCTCCCTGTCTTACTTCTTCGATTTCTCCTTTACTCCCTCATGTCTCACTGTGTTTCTCAGGCTGACCTTGAACTCCAGAACTCAAGTCTTACCTTAGCCTCAGTAGCTGAAACATGGGCTACAGTGCCCAGCTTATTGATGGGCCTGCCGGAGTCATAGGGCAGAGCATACACTGCCGTAATCACAGGAGGGACCTTTCTGTTAACCCTGTCCCTTTTCTGACAGAGAAAGTACTGAGCCTGTAGCCCAGTGTTAGCTTAGATATTTGCTTCTAGGTTGTGTTTCTAAATTTTCAGTATATTTTCCAAACAAAAACTAAACCTGGGCCCCCTGGCTTTCTTTCTTGCTCTCCCACAGTGAAATGGCCAAACAGTGTGAACAGTGCTGGAAGAGGAAAACAGAAGTGTGGAATAGTTAACGGACAGTTGATATTACATTTTAAGTCATCATCTCTATTATCTGGTTAAGACACATAAGGTAAATAGTCCTTTAACCTGAAGCCCCAGCTGTTCTTTTGGGTTTTGTTTTGTTTTGTTTTGTTTTTCTACACAGCTGATCAACTTTTAAGACATGAAAGAGTAAAAACAAGGACATAATCAGAAAAGCAATCTTGGGAGAGTTTCTAGGCATGAATAAAAAAATCAAAATTAATGAGCCCCCTTGACAGAGCTCAGGCTCTCATTGTGACCACCTAGTGGCAAGAGACTTTAATTTCTGCTCCGTGTGGGGGACCGTGCCTGGGCAAAAGAAAAGAGAAACCTATCCTGAGTTACACAGCTTCTACATTTTATATAAAAACAGAAATATTTTTCAGCTTATCAGGCAATACAAATTCTTTCTTAAAAACAACTAAAGGTATAAGGGATTGTATTTATGGCATATCACCAGCATAGATGTATTGCATACAAGATGTACATACACCACACACACACACACACACACACACACACACACACACACACACACACAGAGGGATGTGTTATAAAGTGATAGCATTAGTTCTCTGGAAAAGGGAAGTAAGAGAGTGCCAGGGATGAAAATACCATGAGCAGACAAGCCTTTAGCATTGAGTACTCTGATTCCTTTGCAAGGAAAAAGACTTTTTTTTGCTAGTTTTGCAAACTTGTCTGCCTGTCAAACATAATATTTATTTACTTATTTATTTATTTATTTGAGGCAGGCCCTTCTATTTAGCTCTGGCTGTCCTGGAACTCTCTATGTAGACCAGGCTGGCCTTGATCCACCTGCTTCTGCCTCCTGAGTGCTGAGATTAAAAGCATGTGCCATTTATCCCAGAAAATGCTTTGTTTTATTTTTTTCTATATTCCCTTTCTGTTAGAGTCTAGACTGAGATGTTGCCCATCCAAGTACTAACAAGGCTTGACCTTGCTCAAGGCTTGACCTCTCTCTTCGGAGAGCAGGCACGTTAAAGTGGTATGACCATAGACTAGACTAGTTATGCAAAATTAAATCAATAATCTAAAAACTGTTAAAGAGTGATGATAGGAAGTCAAATTCCAAACAAAGTTAAATCGTTTTGATCAGCCACTGGGTTCCTTTTCTGATGACTTCATCACAATTTCTACCCAAGAATGTAAATTTTTTCAAAGATTAAGTACACATCAGTTAATGCTTGCATCAACATTCTAAATCCCCTTGATCATGAAGCATAAAGCACTATAACATGCATACATGTACAGACCCTGTAGCCAGTTTGCCTGAGCTTAGCTTTCTATTGTGTGACCTCTGCCTCAGTTTCCTAGTTGATACTGGGAGTACCTGTCTCATCAAGGTTGTTGTTAAGCCTACGTACGTTATCTCTACAGTTCTTAGTCGAGCCCTTGACACACAGCAAGGGCCATAGAAGGGTTAGAGAGTGTTGTCACTGCTGTGGTTACACTCTCAACATCGGGGTGCTTAGAAGACACTATGACAGGTTAGAATAGCTGCTCAGGCTTTTTTCCTGTGTGCATGTGTGCATGTACACACTCATGCCTCTATCCATGTGCTATGAAAGCAAGTACAAACATTTTCACTAAAACTCTATTATATTATTCTTTTATAGCCCTTGTTAAGCCACATGTTAAATTTTAGAAATGTCTCTTCATGCCATTAAATGAGATGACTAAGTAGAAAAACATGCATCTGGCCTTTTTTGTTTGTTTGTTTGTTTGTTTTGTTTTTCGAGACAGGTTTCTCTGTGTAGCCTTGGCTATCCTGATTCACTTTGTAAATCAAGCTAGCCTTGAACTCACAGAGATCTACTTACCTCTGCCTCCCGGTACTGGGATTACAGGCTTGCCTGGCTGATGTATCCGGTCTTACACAGTTGAGACACAGGGGCTTCTGACAAGTTCACAGGCAAATAGCAAGCTCCTCCCTGGGGCACTGACATATCCTACCAGAGGAAGATCATCAGCCTGGTGTGTTTGCTAAGCTGCTTCTCTTCAGGGGCAGGATGCAGATCGCTGTCACGTGTCACTGTGGGGAAGACATTGGAATCTGGTTCTCGGTAATGAAGTAGAGTTTTCCATAGGAAGCACACTGGTCATTAATGGGTATTTCCTCCTCCACCTCTCGATGGCTTTCCAGATGTTCCACAAGACAGAGGAATTCTTTCCCAAGAAGATGGAGAGTGATGTGGATGACATGGACACGTCAGACACACAGTGGGGCTGGTTCTACCTGGCGGAATGTGGCAAGTGGCACATGTTTCAGGTACCCTGCCCTGAGCTCCACAGGCAAGGGCTCACTGCTGTATAGAGTCATGCTCATGGAGAACTGGAAAACCAGCCCAACTGGGAACCAGAGTAGCCAGAAGTCTGTTTCCTCCCCTGACCCTAACCTCTCAGAAACAGCGGTGAGCTTAGACAGGAAGCATGCCTGGGTGATGGCCTCTGCCACATACAAGCGATCCAAACTTGATCTGGTGGCAACAGGGAGGGAAGGGCAGGTCCATGTTAAGCGCCTGTCTGGTTAGCGTGTTAGGTGCTATATGTGCCCTGTGTCCTCAAAACAGCCCTGAGGTAGACCGCACTGCCCCATCCGCTGTCTCTTGCTTGACCCCACTCATAGAGGGGTTTAGCAGATGTTTGAACCCCCACGCAAGAGCTAATAGTTTGGAGCTTTTTTCCCCCTCCCATTTTACGGTTACCAGGCTGGTAACTGTACTTTGGGCCACTTAGTGTAAACGTTAGATAATTTGTGAAAAGGCTGTGACAGAGACCATCATAACAGGAGCCGTTTCCCCCTGAATGTCGTGAATAAGTTTCCATGTGCAGGCTTGGTTGTGCTCCTCCCTGTGTGTGGGGGAGGTAGAACAGGAGGCAGTAGGCATCCCTCATTCTCTGTCACTGTGACCTCAGCTCCACTTCTGCGGCCAACCCATTCCTGTGAACAGCTGGTAAATGCAACTTTCTGGTTTGTCTTAAAGCCGGATACCAACATTCAATGTTCAGTTAGCAGTGAAGATATCGAAAAAAGCTTCAAAACAAACCCTTGTGGCTCCATTTCCTTTACCACTTCCAAATTCAGCTACAAGATAGACTTTGCAGGTATGTTTTCCCTCCTAGTCGTGTGTTTCTAGAATATTCCTAGACTATCGGCGCAGTGCAGTCGGCAGCTGTGAAGCCCAGGATTAGGCCAGATGTCTTGAAGCATGAAGTAAATCCTCCGGTTCTATGTAGAAGTAGCTCAGTAAAACTGCACTGTCAGACCCTTGAGGAGCACTGCCGTTTATAAAAGCATGTTTCTGTGTTCATGTGTGTTAACCTATGTGGTGTTGGCCATGTGCTTTGAGTCATGTAAAGCTCTTGTTTTTGTGTTTTGTTTTTTGAGATGAGGTCTCCCTGTACTACCGGCTGGTCTTGAACTCACAATCATCCTGCTTCAGCCTCCAGAGTAGCTGGATTGCAGACCTGAAATGTTGTGTCTTGCTTATAGCTCTTATTTTACTCAGCACCCCAGCAGCCTGAACATTGCTTTGAATTGGGAACCTTTCTATCTTAAGATCAAACTGATATTAAATGAGAAGGACACATAGCTGGTGATTCTTTCATGACAAAGTAAAGCCATGTGACCTTCCTATTGCTACCTGGGTCAAATGGCTGATTCTTCAATGGCCACTGCTTCAGGTGTTTCCTCATCTCACTGGTTCATTCATAGGTGAACCCAGCTGATATACAAATCAACTTCAGTTTGGACACATGCCGCTTTGGATTCCACCCACCACGTGCGGTCATGTTATCAAGTGTCTCATGAAAACGCTATTGGATTCGATTCTTAAGTCTGAGGCTGCCTTCGCCCACTGCTGATGGCTTGGATGTGAAGGAGATTTAAATGGGGCAGCTTCTCACTAACCGTGCATGTAGTCGCTGTGCACTTTGGTCTTCCAGCTCCTCTTTTCCAGTCACTGAGTTGTGTCGTTCTAACCATGCTGAGGAGGGAGCGAAAGGCCTGAAATGCTTTCCCAGAAGTGCGAAAGGGTTTGGCAAAGGACAGTGTAAACGCACAGCTAAGAAACACCTTCCTATCAAAAACGTGCTTTCCTTGCAGTTGCTGATGATCAAGAATAAATCAAAGAATAGATGAATACATTAAGTTTAAAAGATTGAAAACCATTCTATTTTTACTTTCAACTAAACCCGACTTTAAAAAAATATCATTAGGCAAACAGGCTGCCCATAAGGAAAGCTGATGTTGATGTTTCTGGTCTAGTCTAGGCAGTAGGTGTTCACCAGATGTTACTGGTATTCTGTACTAGTGCTGTGTACAAGCACAGTTTTGGAGCCAGAACAGACACAGTGTGATGTATACAGACTTCAGGCTTCAGAAAGGGGGTGCTGTTTGCTAAAGTGTGTGGTAGGTAATTCAGCAGGCCACCTGTATCTAAGAATATTCACTAATTATACCTACAGGAAATACAGCTTATCCAGAATGTTTTTGTAGACACTCACGATGTAGTTCAGTTGGTCCAGTGCTTGCCTAGTCTGTCTAAAACCCCAGCAATCAGGCTTGCTGATGCATGCCTTTAATCCCAGCACTCAGGATGTGGAGGCAGGAAGATTACAAATTCAAGGCCAGTCTCAGCTACATAATGAGTTCTAGGCCATCCTTGCCTACATGAGACCCTGTACTTAAAATAAATAAATAAAATAAAATAAAATAAAAATCCAAGATCCTTACTAAAGTATGGCAGTGGCGTGTGGCAATAAATAAAGAAATGGTGGAGTTTTAAGATGTAGCTACTAGCATTTTCTATATGCTGCTTTGAGGATTTTTAGCCCCAGCTGTCCTGCCAAGGTCCAGGTCCTCTGTGTGAAAGTCATGGAAAAGTAAACTGAAATGGAGATAGCTGTAAAGATGACTACACAGCATTTTTGCTGAGATGTTCTTACTTCTCCCTAGATGCTGACAGTACCCTGGTGACCTGCATCTAGGAGAATACATGAGTGGCAGAGCATACTAGATACCAGCGTTTGACAAATGCAGTGGTGTTAAATTTGTAACCTGGCTAGTCTTAGGTTAAGAGTTACTGCTTGGCTGGGAAGTGATAAACTGGACCTGGTAACACTGCCACAGCCAAGGTGTGGCCAGAAGACTGGAGGGTGGTCTTCTGTTACTAGGATCTATGTCCAGGTTTTCTTTTAGTTTTTCTTTGGTTTAGGTGGACAGTTTAAAGAGGAGGGAAAAAAAACACATTGCAAAGGTCACATTGCATAATTCTGTGAGTTATGCAATTCTTATATGGAAATGTTCCTCTTCTTAATTTCCAAATTCTTAGGGTAACCAGAGCACAGTTTTCTGTGTAACAAAGCCAGTGGACGATGCCATATGATTTATATATATATATTCTTAACTTTGCTGCCTCTAGAATTCTTGTATTTCAGCATCCGTTTAACCAAGGTGTGATGCACACAATATGCTCTGCCTGTGGAGCCAGATGTGAGGCGAGCATCTTGGTGTGGGCCTTAGGTCAAGCCCTCCAGCAGGGCCCTCTGCAGGGGCACCTTTGCAACATGATAAATAAATAGGTGGGTGGTGAAAGATCCCATACCCAGTTGTCAGCTTCTTCCAAAGCCACAGAACCTTCAGGTATTCTGACTGCTAAGCTGCACAACACTCCAGAGCCCTCTATGTTTCCGTGGCTAATCTGATATGTCTGTCTTTTTGTTCAGAAATGAAACAGATGAATCTCGTCACTGGAAAACAGCGCCTAATAAAAAGGGCCCCTTTCTCCATCAGTGCCTTCAGGTATTGTAAAGGGGTGGCATGAGGGGTGGGTCTTTTCTCTCTCTGCTCTTTCTTACTCTCTGGCCGAAAGCCAAGTCGACTAACATTCATATCATGGACTAAATAGTGATCTTTGCAATATTACACCTCCCATTTGCTGACCATATAATCATCTTCTGTCATTGTTTCCTTTCATCTCTTCTTTTGTCATTTGCATTTATATATTTTTTTCAGTTCTTAGACCAGTATGCATGATAATTACAAGATGCCATGTGGTTTTTGCTTAAAATAGCCTTTTGAGCTTAAGTTTGAACTTGAACTGGACATACTCTCACAGAACTTATCAGGTATTTGACCATAAATCTAGAGACCTGCCTACTTTGTCTGCCCTGCACTGATGGAGATCTTCATTGGGCAATTCAGATCCAAGGCTAGTCCACAGTGACCAAAGGCCTGGGGCAGCTTGTCCACCGTGGGCAGCAGTGCAGCATCTCCTTCTCTGGATCTGGGTTACATATTTTCTTTTTGCCATATTGCCATATGCCAATTGCCATATCTAGACTGAAAACAACAACAACAACAAAAAAAGAATTGTTAAGAGCCAGAGGCAATAAATATTTGTTGTGCATGGGAATGAAAAACAACTGAAAAATTTTAAGACTGTATCTCCTATTTTCTGGAGTGATTTCTCAAGCACATACTGAGTTATTTTCTGCTCAGAGAACTTAAGGTGCAGCTCAGAAAGATTGTGCTAGTGTAAGGAGTGTGCGCTTTGCTCCTTCCTGGGGCTCTTGAAAAAGCACAGCAAAGAAAGGAATTGAAGAGACTAGGAAGTAAAGACAGACTTTGCTTCCTTTCTCAGGATATTTGACTTACATTCTAACATCACAGTTTCAAAGATACAGAGGTTGTCCTGCTGCTGTGGGACACAGTATGTTCCTACCTGCTACAGCATGTGTGGTTCCTCAGTGCCAGGAACAGAGTACACAGATCCCTTGTCCTCTAAGAGCGTGTAATCTGGGGGATGAGACACACTAATGGGAAGTGTCCCACACTGTGTGTTGTAGTAGCAGGTATCCCTTTATGGGGCGAGAAGTACATGCTGGCTCACACATCTCTTCTGTCCCAGACTACACAAACTATACAGCAATGACAAGGGGCGGGGAGAGTGAACGGAGCATTTGAGGTGGTAACGAAAAGGGAGGGAGTGACGGTCAGGAGGTGCTGATGCAGAAAGGTGCTGATGAAGGATGGCAATGGGCACTCATCACAGGCCTGGCCAGTGTGCACCCTATTAAATCTGTGGGCACATGCAAGCCATTTAAGCCTTCCTCCATAACTGAAAGATGCATTGGGCAAAGTGAGGGGGGAAATGGAGAGCTTTCACAAAACAACTCAGTGCTGAAATTAACTGATAATTCCTATAGTATTTTGAACTTCTTCTCAAACTCCCTTAAGAAAATTTGAATGTTTTTATTGTAAAGAAAAATATGAATTTATGCCAGACTCCTTTGTTAGCAAACTGACTGAAATTCAAAAGTGGGCTACTATGGCTTTCTGGAGAGGTTGCTGGAAGATAGGTGCCCTCCACATTTCTGGTGAGAAGGTTAATAAGTACAGGGTTCCAAGACTCCATTTGGGCATCTGTCCACCATAGTTGTCAATACATGCATCTTTTGATTCTGGAATCCCACTTCAGAGACGTCATTACCAGGCACATGAAATAACAAGTGGGTAGATTTGTTCTTTGCAGCATTCTAGGTGGGAGTAGCAGAAGTTGAAGCAAGATAAGTATCACCAGAAGCATGCAGCTAAATAAATGGTGGTTCTGTCTCCAAGCCCTCCTGTTGTTGGGCCCCAGATCCTCGGGAACTTTGTCTGTTCCTGCACTAATGCAGAGCCCCACTGGGCAATCTCTAGATGATACATTAAGCCCTAAAGGAGGTCTAAGGAAGATGCTCCATTATGGGAGCATGTCAGCTCCCCATTCCCTGGGCATGGGATGCACAATTTCTGTTTTGCTCCCTCTGGCCAGGCACATATGGGTGGAAGTGTGTGTGTGTGTCCAACAGAGAAGGCATTTAATCAGTAAGTGCTATTCTAGTATCTGCCCTGTGCTGGACTTGCCCTTGGCCCTGGGAATGAGGAAACTGTGTACATACTGATAAGGATCTTGATAAGAATTTGGTTAAATGAACAAAATTGTATGTTTTGTGTTGCCATTTGTGTTGGATAAAACTTGGCTTTCGGAACCTGAGTAAACTCTGAAAGAACATCTGGATGGGCCATGATGGCACATGCTTTTAATCCCAGCACCTGGGAGGAAGAGGCAGGCAGATTTCTGTTCGTTCAAGGCCAGCTGGTCCACAGATTGAGTTCTAGGATAGCCAGGGCTACAGAGGGAAACTCTGTCTCAAAAAACAAACAAACAAACAAACAAAAATCAGTGACTTCGGTGATGGAGAGAAGGCTAAAACCTGAGCAGAGCACTGGCTGGAGCAGGGAGAAGGCTCCCGCTCTGTTCCTCTTGGTAGATTTAAAGTACTCCTGAGTGGTTTCCAGCACCCACACATGTGGCTCCAGGAGATTGGGTACCCTCTTCTGCCTCCCGCAGCCACCCACACATGTGTAACACCTTTGTACACAGATATACACACACATACAAATAAAAATCTCAAAAATTCCATATTGTATTGTGTTTTTTTCCCCCAAAATTTTATTAAGTTTGACAAAAGTGAGCTAAAGACAGGTTTGAAGTTTGTTAATTTTTTCCACTAACATTTAGTTTCCAAGGAAGGTTAATATGTGTGTTTTAGCATTGTGCTGTTGAATCTCTGTCGCCATCATCTCTGTGTCTGTGTCCTGTGGTTTGACTGTATACATGGCTTTTAAAGATTTGGGGAGCAGGCATGATGGTGCACTGCTGTAATCCCAGCACTCAGGGAGGCAGAGCCAGGCGGATCTCTGAGTTTGAGGCCAGCCTGGTTTAAAAAGTGAGCCCAGGACAGCCAGGGCTACACAGAGAAACCCTGTCTCCAAAAACCAAAACAACAACAGCAAACCTGAACTACACTGAGCTGGTAGGGTACACTGTCTAAGGAAAAAGTAGGCGGAGAAGGGAGGGTCAGGCATGATCTCAGAGGACAGAGAAGGGAAGTCAGGGTCATCTTAGAGGAGAGCAGTGGCTAGTGGAGTTCTCAGTTTTATTCAGTAGGAACATAAATAAACACTTTGAGTTTTTTTAAAAATCAACCCAATTTTTCTTAGAAATTCCTTTTCTTTGGGTAATATATTCACATTTTATAGAAATGTTAACAAAAGTTAATTAGCTATTTTTGAAGTGTTGAAGCTATGTAGACTTGTATATTTCCATCAAAGTTTATAATTGAGAATGTGAAAATTAGGGTAAGTAGACATTCAGTAAATAACTCTAAGTGATGCCAAGGGTTAAACTTAATTGCATTTGTCATAATACCTTACAAACAGAAAACTCAGCTGTGGAGAAAAGGCTAAATCACTGACATTAATTCTAACTCACTTCTGACACTCTGCTCTGTCTTTTGCTGTTTGAAGTTACATCTGTGAAAACGAGGCCATCCCCATGCCAACACACTGGGAGAACGTGAATACTGACGTTCCCTACCAGGTAAGAACGGGCAGACCTTCGGACAGACCACCCTGGGCCAGTCGGTGGGAAAGCCCCTGCTAAACTGTGTGAACTTCTTCTCCCAGCTGGTTTCCCTGCAGAACCAAACGCACGAATATAATGAAGTTGCCAGTCTTTTTGGGAAAACAATGGATCGCAACCGAATTAAAAGGATTCAAAGGATTCAAAACTTAGACTTATGGGAGTTCTTTTGCAGGTAGGCCGGTTTCTCATCCCTCCCTTCTCCATGTCTCATTCTTCCAAGCTGTGGGGATGGCCATGCGCAGAGATTAGCCACAGACAAGATATTCTTCTCCTGCCACGCCTTAATTTTATTTTACATTTCTTTTGTTTTATGTGTATGCCTGTTCTGCCTCCATGTATGTCTGTGCACCATACCTGCATTGTGCCTGGGAGGTCAGAGGGCCATCTGTCTCCTGGTCCTGGAGTTACAGGCAGTCATGAGCCACCATCTATCCAGCCTCTGCTGGCCTCCCAACCCTCCTCTCCTCCATTCCCAGAGAGTAGTAGGGATATTCTCTGAAATAGATTCCAGCCACTACAGTGGGAGAAGCTTACTCTTTGCTAGGTCCACAATTGCATCTTGGTTGAAATGGAGCTCTTTAGCTTTACTATGGCTTTGCTTGCCTCAGCCCTTTCAATTGAATTAGAAATACTGACTAAAAAAAAAAAAAAGAGCAAAGTTACACTATTCTTCCTGTAGCTTTTTGCTTGTTTTGTTCGAAAGAACACTTGACAATTTACCTTTGAATTTCTTGCTTCACTCAGAGTTTATGCTGTGGATTTAAAAACCTTTATTCATTACAAAATCTAAGTTAGAAATGACTGTTAGATTCCCCAGTGTGCCTTTAACCTAAAAATAAAGCTCATTACATAAAAGTTAATTTGTTAACCAAACTAACCTGTTATGTTGTACTTTTGCAATAAATATTACTTAAAATAAGTGGTTCTCTGAAGTATTTTAAATAAACATTTGTAGATGAGATTTGATTTCTGGTATTTTTATTATAAGCTTTTAACGATTTATTCAGAAAAATTTCAAACCAACACATAAGTAGAATTCTGCCATAATGAGTACCTTCTTGTGATCTTGTTCAACATCTGTTAAGGTTTGCTACACAAGCCAGGTGAGGAGCACACACTGAGATGGGAGGATTGTGAATTCAAGGGCTACAGAGCAAGTTTGGGGCCAGCTTGCACTTCTACATAGTGAGACCCTGTTTCAAATAAACAATCAATCAAAGAAACATTTGCCAAAACCAGATTAAGATTAACCACAAATAGTCAGTTGCTTTGTTATTGTAAAGTATTCAAAGCAGTTTCCAGCCTGTCATTCATTTCATATGCACGTGCTTGAGAATTAGACTGTGTTTCCTTGCTGTGGTAAAATATCCAAAACAGTTTAAGGGAGAAAGAGTTTACTTGGCTCACAGTTCCAGGTCACAGTCCATCATTTCAGGGAAGTGAAGGTAGTAAGGAAGGTCAGGCTGTTGACGCAGCTATCACATTTCACGCAGTCTAAATATGAATGAATGCATGCCAGTGCTCATCTTGCTTTCTCTGCTCTTACCCACTTCAAATTCTCCAGCCTACAGAGTGGTGCCATCCACAGTGGGCCATCCCAATAAACTTAATCAAGAAAATCCCTCAAAGATATGCCCACAGACCACCTAATCTAAACTGTTCCTCAATGAGACTCCATCCCCAGGTGATTCTCCATTGTGGAAAGTCAACAATCAAAACTAACCTTCGTGGTAATGATGTATGGGATTCTGCTGTGGTTCCAACTCGCTGCGCCTCAGTTTGTTCCAGATATCCTTGCAAGAATTTATAACAACAGCAGGGCTTTCAACTTGTGCTTCTTATAGTCTTGAGTATTTGACCAAACACCTTCTTCAAATTATCTATCTATCTATCTATCTATCTATCTATCTATCTATCTATCTATCTATCTTCTGTGTCACCGAGTTTACTGAGTTCAGAAGGTTTTATTCCATTTGTTTGGGCAAAGATTGAAGCTTCTGCCCTGTGATTTTATTCTTTCAGTGAAGAAAGTAGTTTTTCTGTTACGAGTTGGTGAAACTCTTACGTGTTCTTTAAAAAATAGATTTATTTATTTTATGTGTGTGAGTTTTACCTTCATGTATATACATGTCATGCGTGCTAGTGCCCATGGATGTCAGAAGAGGGGGTCAGGTCCCCTGGAACTAGAGCGATAGGTGCTTGTGACCTGCAATATGGGTTCTGGGGCCTGAGCTAGCTCCTCTGCAAGAGCAACAAGCGACCTTAACTGCAGAGCCATTTCTACACAGCCATTTTAAATAATAATAATTTATTAATTTTATTTTTTAATTTGCATTGGTGTTTTGTCTGCATGAATATCTATGTGAGGGTATTGGATTCTGGAGTTAGTTATAAGCTGCCATGCGGGTATAGAGAATTGAATCCAGCTCCTCTGGAAAAGCAGTGATGCTCTTATCTACTGAGCCATCTCTCCAGACCCCTATTTATTATTCTTAATTAAGCCTCTGAACTGGGGTTCATATTAGTCTCCTTCATACAGCAGAGCTCTCAGTAAAAGCATAGAAATGTAGTGCTGAGTCCTGCAGCATATTATACTAAGAACTTACTACAAATTTTTCTTTTCACCCCTTTGTGATCCTCTGTAATGTCAACCCACAGACACCTGCCATGACAGTGCCAAATACAGAGGCTTGTGTTAAAGTCAGCCTGCCACTCTGACATCTCTCTGCAGAACTAAAATAACCTCATGTCAGCTGAGACTCACCATCTGGATAGCCAGGCCCCGAGTGAGTCCACTCTGCTATATAGTAAACACAACCTTATGACAGACAGTATTTTATATAGTAAACACAGCTTTATGATAGACAGTATTTTGGATGCTTGGGATTTGATGGGGTATATAGTTCTTGTAGGTCAAAGAACCAGGCCGCTGTCAACCTGAGATGTATAGGTGAGCACAGGTTATCATGGGAGCACAAGTGAGGACATTGATGCACCCTTGCCTGTAAAAGGGTGCTTGTGAAGTGGCATGGGGTGCTAGGGAGAACTCCCTAAAGCTGGTGCTAATTCTACTAGACATGAGGTGGGGACAGGAGCACACTGAGACTTGGAGACATCATGACCCCAAATTTATATAAAAACAGGAACAGATGAATACGATAGAAGATTATTAGGGTGAGTGCCATGAGAAACCTAGCCAAGAAGTAGAATATGCAGGAGCTAATAGTGCCGCTGGCTGGCTCTGTGACCTCCCTTTATATTTTTAGTGCAATTGATTCAGGTTACAAAATAAAATTAATGGGTGCCTTCCATGCAGCACTTTATAAGCCAAATTGGTCATGTTTTATTGTTTGTTTGCTTTTCTGAAACAATGGGAAGTCTGCTTGGAGAGAGAGAGAATGTATTATGTATATATGTGTATATGTATGTGTGTGTGTATGTTTAGAATGATAACTCACCAGGCAATACTGTAGGAAAAGCTTTAAAGTAATGGCTTTCAGCTGGTAGGAATAATGCTTCCTACCAGGAACATTTGATAATGAGGAGACATTTTTTGATTGTCTTGGGGTAGAATGTAGGGCCTATTGGTGGATAGAGGTCAGGAATGTCAAACTCCGTAACAAAGATCTCTCCATCCCCCAAAACCAGTTCTGCTAAGGTTGAGAGGCCCTGATTTAAAGGAATCACAGCTTGAGGCAGGGAGACCAGCTCAGGAAATGGTTTCCATAATTAAACCGAGAAGCTTTGGGTGCCTCTTAACCCAAGTGGTGGATACTGTGTTGGAGCAATGGCAACCATTCGGAGGTATTCAGAATGTAAAATTTTGATGCATGTTTTTGTGTGTACACTGCGTGAGGGAGAGAGACAGCCAGGGCCACTCCCAGATGTTGGTTTCTTTGTCTTACTTGATTAAAGGAATATGAGTAGAAATAAGACTTGGTCTTTGTAGAGACCGTGGGAGGGAGTATCAGCTAGTACTCAATGCTTGCATCAGGAAACCAATTGAGACTAGTGAGGAAGGCTAGAAGATTCAGGGTCCTATCAACAAGAGATGATAAAATGTCCAGAGTGTGTATGTGTACTACATTAAGAAGAGAGACCACACTGGAGAGGATGAGCAACAGAAAACCCAAGGAAAACAGTAGAATGGGGAGCTACAGAAGCTGATGGAGCCAGAAGGATCGTCTACAGGGTTGCATCCTGAAGACATGCCAGGGAAGGTGAATACTGGGAATGTCCTCGTGGCTTGCAGCAAACCTTACGGAGAGGGAAAGCAATGCTAGATGTTGTCCTGTGCAGATGGGTTTGACAACTCCTTTAGGAAGCTTGGCACTGAAAGGGGGAGAGGAAATTAGTAAAGTGGGCAGGAAGAGAGTTTCGTTAGGTTTATTATTAGAAGTATTACTGTAGTGGTTAACATAATTGGAACAAACCTATAGAAAAGGGTAGGTGAGAAGACAGAGGGGGAGGACAGTTGGCTGATTAAACTCTATCAAAGAAGCATGATGGGATGAGATTCAGTGGCCATGTGCGAGAAAGAAGATAGAAACGGTTAGACTTAACAGTTTAGGAGAGTTGAGAGCCTGGCTAGCCTACAGCGCTCTTCAGTCTTTTCAGTTTCCATGGTAAATAAGTGAAGTCACCTACACAGAGTGAAGCACTGTGACGTATATAAAAGGGAAAGAAAAAGGAGAGATGTAAGTGACCACCGTGGGAAGTGGGGAAGAGGAGCCTCGAAACACAGGATTTCCTGTCCTGAGGGTTAAGCCAAAGGTGAAGGTGGAGCACCGGAGTGTCTGAAGGAGTCCAGGGGAAGTTGCTTGAGGCTTACTTAGAGGTACAGTGGAAGGGCAGCAGGGGGAGATGGCTAGAGCAGTCAGGGTTGTCGGGAAGTTAAAGCACAAGAGCCCTGTCTGGATAAAGACGTGGGTTTTGAACAAGCAGAAATGCCAGACCTGGCTGTGTATCAGAGCCCTCTTTGGGGCTCCCTTAACAGATAGAGCTCCATCATCCAATCCAGATCTACTGGCTCAGAGCCCCTATTTCTGCTATTTTTATCTGTGAAGAGCTCTATGGTATTTCTGATGTTCATCTGGAAAAAGATTGTGATTCTATACCCGGGTGAATGTCCTCAGGCCAGAGCATGGAGACACTGCTGTCCTGAGACAGTGTGGGACAGACACTGGGCTTTCTGGAACCTTGGTCCCCAGAGGATGGGGATATTGAGACATCTTTGAGAGCTGGGTGCCTAGTACTCTGTGTAGATTCAGAAGTGAATGTGATCTGATCCAGTGGGCAGGATTGGGAAGCATTTACTGTAATCTTAGGTCTTTGCTTGCAAGTTTAGCTCATGATTCAAGTGTCTGGAAGACCAAAAGCATGGTCTGTGAGCCCACATTTCCTGAGTGTAGTAAGGGTACAAACCTTTAACCACTCTGTCTAGTCTGCTTCTGGCTGGTATATGTGGTCCTTCCATTCCAGTAGCCATAGTGTTTGATGCTCATTGCCAGGCTCTTTAATCCACAATATAATACCTTTGAGAGGCACATTCCAAACCAAGATTCATGTTAACCTTTATCTGGAATGTAATGACAGGTGAGCATCTTTTAAAAACTGTGTGTGTGTGTGTGTGTGTGTGCGCGCACGCATTCATGATTTATGCACACCACAGGTGTGAGAAGCCCTCAGAGGCCAAAGGGTGTCCAAGCTCCTGGACTTGGAGTTACAAGTGGTTATGAGCCATCTGATATGGTGCTGGGATTTGGACCCAAGTCCTCCGTAAGAACAGTAAGTGCTCTAAGCCTCTGAGCTGACTCTCAATCCCCAAATCTCTTAGTTTTTAGAGTAGAATCTAGTGATTACAGCTCATAAAACTTGACCCTAGAAATGGATGTATTAATCAGGTGTTTGCGTTAACAAAGCAACAACCATGATATGGATGAATGAATACCAAACTTAGTAAGTTCATCATTGTGGTGTGTGGCAAAGCCCTTTGGATAATGTAACTGGGCCTCTCTAAAGTGGCTGAGAAAGTTTCTTAGGATGGAAACAATATGTTCCAGGCAATGGAACAAAAAGAAAGGGTAATTGGCGGTTACAAGTCTTTTGCAAAGATTTGAATCTCAAGCTTGCACTGGGGAAATATCCAAAACCAGAACTGTAGCTTGTCTTCTGAGTGAACTACAAGTCTAGAAGACCCTGGGGAGTTGAAAATGGAACAAAACAAATAGTTTATTTTTTTAAAGCGTTCTTTCCCATTAGTTGTTAAGGTAAATATATGTGCATTGTTCAAAAACAATGAGAGAGTCCATACACACAGTCCTAGAAAAGGAAACTCGGTAGAATAACTTAGTGGGAAATGTGCTTTCATTGTGTGAATGAAAGCTGCTTGCTACATGCCCTTCTGATATGAGCAGCGGCCTGGAGTTTCCCTAGATTAATACCCACACACTAAATTTTGATACATATTACTCAGTGGATCCTGAGGAATATGCATTTTTATTTCTGACATCATTTCAATGCATGTCTTTTAGTTGCCTGTTGTCATTAAACTTAGCAACTTGTTAATAGGGTGATTTTACTTTGTTAAATTTTACTCTTTAAACTGAAATGAGTCTAAAGCATTAGGTTTATCTGTCAGTTGTTCAAATATATTTAGCTGGGAGATTTGAAAAATCTTGAGAATTTTATTTGACCACACATGATATGGACCATTCGATGGTACCATTAGCTCAGTCCAGTGGTTTGGTTCCGCTAGTGTTTAGTAACGGTGAGGCTGGGGAGCTGGTCCCTAGCAATGTTTATAAACTAAGAGTACTCAGCAAATCCTGGTTAACTAAAGGCGTTTTGCTGTGTAGAAGGGCCTGGAAGCTTTGCTACAGTGTGAGGGATAGCTGGGGAGTAATGTATCTCCCAGAGAATAAAGCTGAGGGGATTGTTCATAGTTTTTTGGAGCTTATTTGTGTCGTTATTTTATAAAAGAGAAGAGCTGTTCTGTGTTTAGATAATGTCACAGGCCAGCCAGTAGACGTGAAGAGGTGGATTCTAGTTCAGCGTTGGGATGAACGTAGGTTGTAGGAAGTACAGCTGGTCACAGGGCGATGTGGCCACAAGTCCTCACACTGGGATGGATTGAAGCAACTCCTGGCTTTTCCAAAAAGTTGCTGTCCTGTTCATTCATGGTTAAATTATAGAACTCTCTGTGCTCCCGCCTTCCTGGTGAACTCTGCTCCTTAAAATTATAAATGCCACTTACTGGTATATTCTGAATGTGCCTTTCTATTACATGTATCACGTTTTTAAGGAAAGGCTCAGGCACAGCTCAGGTGAGCCAGCAGAGAAGTATGAGAGTGCACTGTTGTTGTTCTAGTTTAAAATTCTTTATGGTGAAGCATTTCATAACCCCAAATGCAAACAGCTTGCCATCCCTCACATGTCCATTATCAGATTTGATATTCCAGTGTTTGACTCATTGTCCTCATCTCACATCTCTCTGATAGAAGCAAAGTTTATTCCATCCCATCCCATTCTTGTTTCCTCTCAAAAGGAGATGCTTTCTTGTCTATAGCTCTATGTTTTTACTTCTGGGGCATGAGCATGTATCTAATACACAGTATTACTTTGAGAACTACAATGATTTTTTGTACATTCTGTTTAGGCTTATTATCTTTCATATTTACAGTGCGCACAGATATACTTTAACTATGTAGACCAGGCTAGCCTCAAAACCCACAAAGATCTTCATGCTTCTGTCCCTAATGCTGGAATTAAAAACAACTTGTACCGTACCAGGGTCCTACTTTTAACTCTATATGTAAATAGCTAAGTATCTGTTTCAATGAAAGATTGTTAGGCTTTTGGTTTTTGCCCTCCGCCTCCATGCACTGAAGTTCTGATTGCCACGAAAGGTGCTAACTGTTGTTCAATGTTCCGTAAAGCTCAAAATGGAGTCAGCCTAGCCAGAATTTGGGGATAAAAAGAATAAAATGTGACCCTAGATCAAAGAAAGAATTCTTTGTCTAAAGACCTAGGAACTTTGTGTTACTTCTTTATAGCCTCATTTGTAGACCTCCGTAATGCTTAGCTGCTTTACATCATCAATTCCCTCCTTCCCTCTCTCCTTCCCCTCTTTCCTCTTTTCCTCTTTGCTCCACAATGCTGAGGATGGAACCCAGGCTTCCCCACATGCCAGATAAGCACTGTACCACTGAGCTTCATGCCCAGCCCCTTTGGATATAATTTTTAGCCTTCAGTCACAATATATATATATATATATATATATATATATATATATATATATATATATTTTAAGCCCAGGATAGCCTTGAACTCCCAATCCTCCTGTCTCTGCCTCTTGCACCTTGGGATTACAGACATTAAGTACCATGCCTAGCTGATAGCTGTCATACTTAATGGAATGATTTTTAAGTACCCAAGAGCATTTGAAATAATTTCTTAGCTAGAATTGCTCTGTCTACTCATTTATATTGTATGGTTTACATTTTTGTCTCCCCCTTTCTATTGAACTTTTTGCCTTTAACATTTTAAATTAATAACTAACACTCACTGGTATATTATTCTGTGCTCTTGTATATGGATGTTTTGTGATTTTAGGAAAAAGGCTCAGCTCAAGAAAAAGAGAGGTGTCCCTCAGATCAATGAACAAATGCTATTTCATGGTACCAGCAGTGAATTTGTGGAAGCAATTTGCATTCACAACTTTGACTGGAGAATCAATGGTGTGCACGGTGCTGTCTTTGGAAAAGGTAATATCCGAGTTTCAGGTCCAGGCTCAGTCATAGAAGAGAGTTCCCTCTCTTTAGAGAAAATTATTGCTTTATGATTCAGAGTTGGCAGTAATGAAGCTAAAACTTACCAGACTATGGGTTCCAAGCAAACCGCCAAGGTTCTGAACCATAGAGACACACTTGCTCCACACCCACAGTGGAAGCAAGGCTTGCGTGTCTGCTGTATCCAATGGCTCCCTGTTTCTAGTCATCCTGATGGCTGCTGTGTGTTAGAGAAGCCTTGGAGTGTTGAGGCAGCCGTTCCCATGGATGAGCCGACACACTGAGCTGCTCTACAGCAAATTCGTCAAGTGACAGAAGCTCATTAATTACACTCTACTGTAGCAACTAGTAGTTTTGGTGTTTCGTATGGTTTTGCTTGTTAGAAAATGATAGGTAATGATAAGCAAGAATGTCAAAGTGCACTGAAGGGAAAAATGGGCAAGACTCTATCTTATGTCTAGTGTCCTGCAAGTCCTAGTTCTCCACTTTGTGGTGTGACTCTAGCAGATAGGGAGAAAGGTGAGGAGTATGAGGGGCGAGCATTTGCTCTCCCAGTCTGTCCTTTGTGCCTGCCTTCCAGCAAGAGAGCTGACTCCCACTTATGATTAGGATTTTGAAGCCATGAATTAATTTAAAAATAAGTACTGAGAAGGCTGCTCACTTTAGCTAGAAGAGGTCAGAAAGGTCTGACAGTGTTTCTAGGTGGTTAGGAGACCCTGCAATTCATGTCCCAGTTTTGTAGAATTAGTATTTGGTTGACAGTGTCAATCATCTCCAGAGAGTTGGCTGCTTTCTTGAGTGTTCATGACACTAAGCGACAATGTTTTGGGATGCTCAGGCAGGAAGAGATGTGCTTGTTAGCGTCCTCATACTATAACAAAACACCCAAGGCAGCACAGAAAGAGGAAAGTTTTACTTTGACCCACAGTTTCAGACATTTCAGTCTGTGCTCCATTGGCACCTTGGAGCCTGTTTTGAGGCAGACCATCATGGCAAGGAGTATGTGGTATGAGGTGAATTAGCCACCCCTCCTGACAGCTGGACCATGAGAAAAGTATGAGGAAGAAAACAGTCTGTGGTCCACAACTCCCATCTCTTTGGGCTCCAGCTCTTAAAGTCCTCACTCGTCCCTTAGCACCAAGCTCCAAGAAGACTAAGCCATTAACACAGGTTCCAGGGAGACCGAAGGCCCAAGCTACAGTAGTAACTCCGTATTGTTTCAGAATTTAACTCCTGAGTGTAACTACTGGTTCTAGACTGACTTCTGGATTGCCCCAGTGGTGGAGCCAGCAGTTTCTTGGGTTTTGAGCTCCTTGGGTAGAGCAGTACTCTACAGAGCTGGACTGGATGCTGGGTGAGGGCGGCAGAGGATGGGTGAGGTCTACAGCTGGGGAGGAGGCCTCCAGGTGAAATTCTGACCTACCACACTTCTCACCACGAAATAGTTTTGTGTTTTATCTACTGGATTTTCTTGTGAGCTCTCTTTTGGAAATGCAGGTGTGGCACCTGCTTTTGTCAAGGGCACAGGAGGCCACTGGTGAGGCCTGGTACACCCAATCCTGCAGCCACAGGATTGAGGTGGGGTTGGGGATTACGTCCTCTTCCTCAGGTCAGCAGAGGAGGAAACCCCACATCCATCCCTGTGGTGTGACTTGTGTCTGTCAGAACCTTGTTGCCTGAGTTTTGTGTTTTCTCCAAAGTAACCTTGGCCCTTTCTGTTGAAGGAACCTATTTTGCTAGAGATGCCGCATACTCCAGTCGTTTCTGCAAAGATGACATCAAGCATGGGAACACGTTCCAGATTCACGGCGTCAGCTTGCAACAGCGACATCTGTTCAGAACCTATAAATCCATGTTTCTTGCCCGAGTGCTAATTGGGGATTACATAAACGGAGACTCCAAATACATGCGGCCTCCTTCCAAAGATGGGAGCTATGTGAATTTGTATGACAGCTGTGTGGACGACACCTGGAACCCAAAGATCTTTGTGGTTTTTGATGCCAACCAGATCTACCCTGAGTACTTGATAGACTTTCACTGACCCCCCTTTCCAGGCTCAGTGGTCAAAGCTTTGCTCTCTCATTGCAGGAGGATTTGGCCCCGTCCTCTAGCCGCTAATATAAATATTGGATACTTTTGAAACAGATACAGAATAGAATGCGACCTCAGTGTATAAAGAAGTACTGGCTGTCAGGTTGGTTAAATTATATGTTGTTCTGTTTCTGTATGTTAACGGTTTTGTTAAAGGCCGATGCTGTTGCCATTCTAGCACATGAGAGTGAGAGACACTGCTCAGAACCAAATAGGCTGAGTCTCGTTTCCGAGGCCAGGCGGTCTTCAAAGTTCTAGTGTGTGACTGGGTCAAATGATTTTAGTTTTTGTTTCCTATTAGGAGACCTGGCGCTTTATAAGTTGAATTTTGACATCACTGCCTAGCAATGAGCTTGTCCCTGTTGGTCTTCTGAAGGGGTCATTTAAAATCCTGATAAACAGTCCCTGGTGCTCAGAGAAGTAAGAAACAAGGACACTGTCTGCCAGACTAGCAAACAAGCTAGCAGAAGAGAGACCAAGACAGAGCCTGCCTCCCCCTGCTATAGGAAGGCCGGCTGCAGCCCCGGAGCAGCTCGCCATTCTCACCCGCGCGTCCCCCTTCCCCCCCCCACACACACACAGCTGAGCTGACCATTGCTGCTGACGTCACTAGCTCACAGTTCAGCCTCCAGCACTCTGCGGTCCCTGCCCCAAGATGTTTATTTTCTCTTTGTTTTGCAGGCCCTGCAGTGATCACTTCTAAGAAGCTTTATCTGCCCCGTCCCCCACAAACACACACAGCTGTTTCAGGTGATTGCTAACAACCCATATCTCTTAGTCATTGGTGTCTTTCTGTTTGAATGACTGTGGAGAACACGGGATCCTGGGATGGAGTCTGACTTTTCCTTCAGAGTAGTTACTGACAATCCCCAACTCCTGAGCAGCTGTGTACAGCTTAGATTGGGCTTGTGGCCTTGCACACTGGTCTGCTTGCCTGCTGCTCTGTCCTGAAGATGGCGTGATCTGTGCCAGCTTCCTGCCTGTAGGTGTTCTGGCAGAGGCAAGACAACACTAAGACAGGACAGTCTTGGTGTTCCGGTATCAGACAAGGAGCCGCCTATATGACTGTCTCCCCAGTGCTGCTCTTTTCACAGTTCCTTATGGGAAAGATCACTCCTCAGGCCATTCCTCCAGAACTTTCCTAACTCTTTATACTGAACTCTGTTTCTGTTTTCCCCACCCAGCTCTGGCTACGAGTAAGTGAGCACAATTTAGCTTCTAGTGCCCATGTCTGTATTGTCCTCTTCAGTCATTTGAATCAGGAAGTCAAGAATTAATACATGTACGGAACAGGATTAGGGATAGTAATTCTTTCAGCTACTTATAGCACCAGATTTTCTTCATGGCCAGAATATGTATAGTTGTGCAGCCGGGAAGTACGTGAACAGCACACAGGAAACCGTATGCGCAGTACTTTGGGGCACTGTGGTAATAATAATTTCCTGGCTCCGTGTGTAGGCCCACCATTGGTTTAAGAAAGGATAGAAAGGACACACGTCAAAACCAACAGAGGGACTGCAGCCTGACGGCGAGTGTCTAGACGGCCTCCCAGCTCACAAGAATCTGTTAGAGGCATGAGAAGTCAGGGCCACTCTCTTCTAGTTCCTTTCTTCGCTTCTGTTTTGGTTTGGTTTGGTTTGGTTTGGTTTTTGTTTTTATGAGAGAGGGTTTCTCTGCGTAGCCCCGGCAGCCCTGGAACTCGCTCTGTAGACCAAACTGACATGCCAAGTGTTGAAGCCCCTCTTTGTATGTGGCTGTCTCCCCCAGTTCCATGCACACTTCTCTTAATACTTGAATGGAATGATTGTTGTAGTTGGGATTGTTTCTTTTTAGACTTGTGTATCCGTGTCAGGGCGACTTGGGAACGCAGGCAGCCTGTGTGATCAGTCCCCCTCATTGGTTTGCATGAGGCCGGCAGGGGTGCACCAGAGCGGCCACCGTACAGAAGCATTGCTCTGCTGTTGATGGAGTGCACTCCCAGCCCCGCTTTATAAGAAAGAAGTGATTTTGATACGTGTTTTAAAATATAATAATGTAGAATGAACTCATGTTAAAGTTTTACTTGTTTTGTCTGTTACGTGGATAGAAGAGCATCACTCCCTCTGCTCATCAAATCCAGGGGGAGGGAGAGCAAGGGAAGCCATTACGAAGTGATGAGCTGTGCCACAGACTGGCTGAGTAAATTCCATTGAGTGCAAACTTGTCTTTTCTCTGTGGGGAGTCTAGCCTCGGGGTAAAAAGAAATGTGTTTGTGAAAAACATTTTTAAAAACCTTTTATCTGCCACCAGAAACATTTGAGATTAGTGGATCATTTCATTTCTAGACTGGTGGTGGTGGTGGTGGTGGTGGTGGTGGTGGAGAATTCTGCTATTTAATGTCTGAGTGTATTGTTTTCACAGTTGTTGATTAAAGTTTTCTGTATCAGGTCTTGGCTGCCTCTGTGTTTTTATATAAGCTTCTGATTTCTGGTTCTCGGTTTTAACTGGAATCTCCCTGTCAAACGTCACATACTCCTCAGGGAGTCTGCTAGCCATACCTCTCGTGGACCCCCTCGAAGGGTGCCCCTCAGTCTCAGTTTTGCTCATCTTGAGTAATGGCTGATGAAATAACCTGGAGGTGGAGTCCTGTCCTCCGCTCTGCTGGGAATTCTGAAAAGGTCACGGCCTGACGGCTGGGCTGTGCTTCCCTTAGAGGATCTGTTCTATGACTCCTCCTCTGTCTACAGTCAGCCTGGCCAGACAGAACAAGGGCCGCATGATAGACCTCGCCTGTGGCTATGGTCCGACTTCCTGCCCCCTGAGGCTGTATCTCTTCCTATCTCAGTGCTCAACTGATCGTAGGCATCACTGTGATAAAAACTCAGTTGCCCTTTGGTTGATTTTAAGTGTGTCATCTTCATTGGTGCTTCTCCAGCCTCAGCCAGGGTGTGGAGTCACCTTGAATGTTTGGCGGGATCATCTAAGATTCGTCTAAAACATGATCTTATGCTGTCCCTGGCAGTGTGTTTCTCCCCAGGTTTCCTCCTCTCCTTGTCAGAAGGGGATCTTGCTTACTCATCTTTAGTTTGTTTGTTTATTTATTTTTGACATAATGTCTTGTTACATAGTCTCTGCTGGTCTCCGATATTGTATACAGCCCAGGCTGGTTAGCTGACTCACAGGTCATCAGATACAGGCTATGCCACCATGCCCAGTCTGTTTTCTATTTTTAATTTAATTTTAATATTAAAAATACTTTTGGGAGCCTTGGAAGATGGCTCAGCGGTTAAGAATGCCTTCTACTCTTCCAGAGGATCTGAGTTTGGGTCTCAGCACCTACTTTGGTGGGCTCTGTAAGCTTTGTTCTGTTTTGTTTGGCAAGGCTGACTGTAGACAGCTGGGAGGGCTGGTGAGTGGGAGTGAATGGCACATCCCCAGAACTCATCCTCTGGGCCGGGAACGTGTAAGGGAAGGACAGCACAGCCACCAGGTCTTGATGTGTTCATAATTCCTAACAGAGCAGAGGACATGACCTCATCCAGCTCCAGGGGCAACTGTTGTCCATGGGCATCTATACATCTATGTACATACCCCCCCCATACACACATGTGGATACATGCATACACACAATCAAAATAAAAACAAAATAAAAACTATTGGGGGACCTGGAGAGATGATTCCGTTGGTAAAGTGCTTGCCACACAAACAGGAAGAGCTGAGTTCAGACTCCTTGTGAAAAGCCAGGCATGGGGGTGCATGCCTGTGTCCCCAGTGCTGAGCAAGTGGAGACAGAAGGATGCTGGGGGTTGCTGGTTCTATAAACCGAAGATATGGCCATCCCATGATATGGTTAATGGGAAGGTTTTTATTGTAGGTCTGAGAGAGAGAGAGAATAGCTAGAGGCCTCTGGAATAGTCCAAAGAAAATAAAGAAAGTAGTAGACTGAACTTGGCCTGCAGAATGGACCTAGCCACGAGAGCAGAGCAGAGAGATGGAGAGGGAGCCTGGAGAACAGTGAGAGATGAAGACTGAGTGTAGGCAAAAGAGGGAGCATAAACCAGGCCAGGTGGTGCACACCTCTAATCCTAATCCCAGCACTCAGGGAGGCAGAGGCAGGTGGATCTGTTAGTTTGAGGCTAGCCTGGTCTACGAAGCAAGCTCAGAACAGTCAAGGCTACACAGAGAAACTCTGTCTCAAAAAAACCAAACAACAACAACAAAAGCATAGCCAGAATAGTAGGGTTATAGGGAGAATGAGTAGCTATGGGGAAAGAAGCTCCGGAGCTGGGGAGTTTTAGGTAGCGAAGGAGGTGAGAAGGGCCAGGATGTCAGCATGGACTCTGAAATAAGTAGCAGGGTAACAGGCACTTGTGGTACTTGAGGCTGGCATGTGATTTTGTATGCTAATAGGCACCACAGATAGCATTTGTCCCTTTTGGGAGTGATAGGGACTTGGCTCCTTTTAATAAAGGGGAACCAGCTCTGCAAGTTTCCTGAGGAATGCTGGCTTTTGTCTTAACTGCCAGAATTTGGGGAAATGGAGTTTCCTCTGGACTTGATACTGGTCAGCTACTTTTGCTGAGTCAGTGAGCTCAGGTCCAACAAGAGACCGTGCCTTTAAAAACTAAGGTGGAGAGTAGTGGAGGAAGGCGCCTTGAAGTGTGCCTCTGGCAGGCCTTTATATTCATGCACGTGCACACACATACATGCTTTCCCGTGCACATATGTACACACACACACACACACACACACACACACACACACACTTTTGCTTAAGACAGAAATCATTTCTCAGTGAAATCACACTTTCAGATAAAGAAGAAGCACAAAAGGTCATGAAAGATAGCAAAGATAGTAAAACAAACACTCCCAAAGTCTCACTGTGTTGCTCAAGAAAATCCTCCCGCTTCAGCCATTATGTCTGACAAAAGCTATTTTGATGGGCACTTCAGCAAACTGGTGTTGCATATACGTGTGTGTGTATATTTATTTTTCATTTATGTGTCTGTGTTGAATATATGCTGTATGTATTCAGGTGCCCTCAGAGGCCAGAAGAGGATATTAGAATTCCCTGGTGCTGCAGTTACATGGGTGATAGGTGATAATCCACCTGGTGTGGATTCTGGCAACTGAACCCGGGTCCCCTGGAAAAGCAGCAAGAGCTCTTACCACAGACCCAAATATCCAGCCCCCCCCCTTTAAAAAAAATTCTCTCACACTATACATCCTCAGAATCTTGGTGATACATAGTCCACTTCCACTCCCCTGCAGACAATTTTATGATGTCGCCTGAGGCAACAGGTGAGGACCTGGACATACCAAAGAAGTAAGAAATACACGATGAACCGAGAGCTTCAGGTTTAGTGTGAGTAATAGAGGTATCAAGGCTCTCGTGGGCCATCTTTCATCTTTACTTTTTCCGAGGGGTAGTTTCCCTCCTCACCCCACCGGATGGAAGGACAGAGAGCTCCAGAGAATCTAGGCAGTCTCCCTCGCAACCCTTCCCTTTCCTTACTGACCTGTGCTCGCTCCATCCCAGGTAGGAAGTGCCTAGGGGTTCCTAACACCAGACAGCGGCTTCTCCCGGGGACTGATCTAAGTCTCCTGCTGTAAGGTTGCACAATCTTTTTTTTTTTTTTCCTCCACTTTAATTGCCTGGCTCTTGCTCTTCAGCGCTGCAGGCTATAAAGACTTGGCTTTCAGTAAAAACTCTCACTATGCGGCCGTGTAACTTGGAATCTAGCATCAGTCTCGCTCATTTTCAAGTGGCTTCTCATGAGAGCAGAACATGGGTTTTATGCCAAAGACATTAGTGTTTCCCGCAGCTTCTGAGCTTTGCTGTGTCCTCTATGAACCATCAGACAGCAGGCTGCTTGTCGTCTGGCTTGTGCTGACTCCACCGTGGTGGTGCAGCTCAAGAGGGTCCCGATCCAGAATGGAACTCAAATCGCTTTTCAGTGTTGATGATAAATCCAGAAGCATGCCTTGTAGTTTTAAAAATACCTTTTCCTGTGGGTCTTATTATGCTGTATTGTCTCCTAAATACCAGGGAAGCTGCAAGCACAATTACCCTAAACTTGATTATGATTCTCAGAGTCAGCAGTAAAGCTGTTTCCTCCACTTAGATCAGGTACCAATTTGGGGGCCAGCTGATCTGAATTATAGTTCTGGTTTTGTTGTTTGATTCAGTGTGACTTTGGATAGCTCGCCAGAGGGCAAAGGTGACTTTGATGAAAAAACAAACAAACAAACAAACAAAAAAAAAAACAAGCAGAAACAGGCAAAGGACCTGAGCCTACAGCTGGCTTTTGCTAGGCGCTGTTTGACGGGAGGATTTTCCAGTGTGGGTGAAGAAAATACAGCTGGAAGCCGGATGTTGGTGGCGCATGCCTGTAATCCCAGCACCCAGGGAGGCAGAGGCAGGTGGATCTCTGTGGTCTACAAATTGAGTCCAGGACAGTAAAGTCTACACAAAGAAGCCCTGTCTTGAAAAACTACCAAAAAAAAAAAAAAAAAAAAAAAAACCCAGCTGGAGGCATAGTGAAATGAGCAGAGAAGGAAACCTTGATTTTAAATATTGTTTAAGTTACTAACTTGAGTTCTTTAAGAACTCACTAAAGCATTTTGATTTGGAATGAGACAGAATTTCTGGCAAGCATTGGAGCAGGAAGAAGGAGGGATTGATCTGGCTCTCATCTAGGTCCTGCCACTCAGCGGTGCCCTTCAGGTTCACGATTCTGGGCTCCTACCTGTGGGGTGCCAGGCAGGGAAGCAGTTGAACCTGGTCTCCATGCTCCTGTTAGCAAGAAGGGCGTGCAGTGAGAGCAACACCCTTGCCAAAGAGGATAGTCACATGCCATGGCTGCCTACAGAACCTGGGACATACCATCCCAGAGAGATCTTTAAAAAACAAGTGTGTGTGTGTGTGTGTGTGTGTGTGTGTGTGTGTGTGTGTGTACATGACCACATAGCTGAGCAGGTCGTGCAGTGAGACCAGAAGATGGCTGCAGCATCAGATCCCTTGGAGCTGGAGGTGTTGGGAACTGAACGCCAGTCCTCTGCACATGCTCCTAATGCCAAGCCAGCTCCCCAGCCCCAGGGAGGTCTGTTGAAACTTTATCTGCTCACCACTCTTCCTTACCCAAGAAAACTTGGGTATCTAAATTTGTAAAATAGATATATAAATAGTGATAATACTGCTAATCACAAAGAAATTTATTTTAAGATGAGTCTGTGGTATATGTATAATTTTACCACTTCTTAAAGATAAGACAAATTTGCATAGTGACACAATGGATATGTTTATTTTTTTCACAGAGAGCCAAATCTGGGCTGAATCCTCAACAGTGTAGGATGTGGAGCCTCTTCAGCCCTGTTCAATGTATCATTTTGATTTTGTAAGCATCCGGGCTGAGAATTCCACTTTGCATAGATGGGCGTAGTTGGGC